ATAATAATAATAATAATAATAATAATAATAATAATAATAATAATAATTGCAACCAGTAAAAAGAGGAAAAAGGTTATAAAAGGATAAATAACACTACAACCATACTTGATGAGTTAATATCCCTACACATTAGTCAGCATAATTAATCCAACATTAAAAAAACAAAAACAAATGAAAATCTGAGAATGCTAGAACCTGCCAGCCTTGCAAAGCTGAGCGACCCAGAGACTCCCTGAGGCTGCCTCCTTGCTTGACTCTACTCACCATCACTGAACAGAGGCTGGTTTCCCGGAAGCTGTCTGTGCGAAAGCTGCCCTGTCTGCTGTCCCGGCACAGGCTGTCCCCGCGGAAACTCCCTTGCCGGCTCTCCGACCTCAGGGGAAGGTTTTCTTCGATCTGAAAGGCAGAGAGATAGAATGGGGAGAAGCTCCCTTCAGAAGTAGTGGCAGCTTCATCCCTGGAAGCTATCGAGAAGGAGGCGGGTGGGGGGGGGGGTTGGATTAGATGATCTACACGGTCCCTTCCAACTCTGCTATTATTCTGTTATTCAGAAGTTGTGGGAACTTCATCCCTGGAAGTTTTCTCTTTAACTTGTTCTTCTAATTTCACTTCTAATTTCACTCCAAGTAAATAACCATATAATTTTTTAATCAACCTCTCATCAGTACCTAAAATTTCATCTAAATCAGTAAGTGCATTGTAAAACCCTTGTATTTTACTATCTTTAACATATTTAGAATGTATTTGCCCATATGAGTACCAATTCATCTTTATTTCTTGTCCTTTTAGTTCTTGTTTTGTTCTGAGTTCACCCTTTTCATTTAATATTTCTCCATATCTAACTGTATGTTCCATTTTAAAAACAATTAAATAAGCAAAAGCCTCTATAGATGACAACCAGACTGGTATTTTCCTGTAATGTTGTTTTCTTATTTTCTCCCCTATTGTCAATAATGAATCTTGGATATAATGTCTTCTAAAATACCCATGCATTTTACTTTTCTTATACCATAGAAATACATGCCATCCTGATAACAAATCATGATCTTCCAATGTTAACAATCTAGTGTTCCTCAATACAATCCATTCTTTCACCCATGTCAATGAGTGACTTGATAATATAATTCCCAATCACTGGAAGCTTTCAAGGGGATACTAGACTGCCGTCTGTCAGAAATGGCATAGGGTCTCCTGCTTGGGCGATGTAGATGACCTACAAGGTCCCTTCCAACTATGTTAATCTGTTAAACTAATCTCAATGTTCTTTAGGGATTATTTCCTCCTGCTAAGCCAGGGTGGATTGGATCCTCAGTTCTCGGAATCTGAGGAGGACCTAGGACTTGGGGATTAGGAGTCTCCAAGTCCCGGGCTGCAGCCTACTTCTTTGAGCTTTGAGCCGTTTGGAACCAGGGCACAAAAGTGGCGGGCGAGCACATCCCCACTTGCGCAAGCAACGGGTGAGCAGGTGTGCGCCTGTGTGCTCACCACTCGCACGGAACAATTTCTTCTCAGTCCCTCCCCGCCAAGCTACAAAGCCGGAAAGGTTATGGATGTTATGTTATCCAGATGTTATGATGTTCTTAAGCATTACAGAATTTATTTATTTATTTATTGAATTTATAACAAGATTTGGAGGGGATTGTGGTCTGCCAACAATCAGCGGAGTTGGAGGTAGACTCAGACAGTGAGGAGGTTTGGGAGGAACATGGGCCAGTCCTGGAGTCGGGGGAAGGCTCTGACGAGGGCTCTGTGTCGAAGGCAGAGATAGGACCAGGGCTGTCCGACAGTTATCAGCTGCCTTTGGAGTTGGAGATCAGTGGGGCAGAAGAACAGCTGGAGCCTGTTCCCACTGTGTGCATGCGCAGAGCTGCCAGATGAAGGGAACAGTTAAGGAACAAGGGTTGACTCAGGAGTAAAGGCACAGGTGGATGATGAATGGCCCCTCCCATAGGGATTAAAAGAGGAGCAAAGGGGGAGGGGTATTTGCATAAGACAATTAATTCACTTCATTAGAGTGAAGATCTGTTCCTGACTTCTTGCCAAGTAATTGCTGTTACAGCGTGGTGTTTGGAAGATATTGGCCTGGCAACTCTCCAAGCCTGATAAAGGTCTATAGTGGTGAAATACTTTGAAATACTGTTTGCCAGGACTTTGCTGGAGAGGAATTCACTTTAACCTAAATAAAAGGGGTTTTATCGGGATGAGGAATCTGCTTCGTGGTCTTGGGAAGCCTGGGTCAGAACAGGGGTTCCTTGTAGGCCTCTTCATCTGGCCCTACTCAGGCAGGAGTAAGTTGTGGTTTTGAAGCTTGATTTAAAGCAACCCCCCCCTCCAGATTTGATCTGCTGGTTGAGCAGGGGGTTGGACTAGTTGACCTCCAAAGTCCCTTCCTCTTATTCTGTTTGGTTAGGAGACTCTATACAATTTGGGACAAGTGGCTATCCAGCCTCTTCTTGAAAGTCTTCAGGGTCCTTCTGGTAGTCAGCAATAGAGTTAAAATCGCCAATCAGAATAATATTACCATTTTCAAATTCTGTTATTTTTTGATGGAGATGTTTGAAAAATTTACCTTGATCATCATTTGGGGCATAGATTGCTACCAGTAAGAGTGTAATGCCATTAATCGAGATTTGTACCACCAGCGTTCTTCCTTCAGGGTCCACCCAGATTAACTCCGCTTTTAAGTCATCTCTCACATAGATTGCAATTCCTTTCTTTTTGTGTTTATCTGCTGGTGCTGTAAATAATTTTCCCAGTTTCGGACACTCTAGGAATTTCTCCTCACTTTTCCTAACGTGTGTTTCTTGTATGCAAATTATATCAACTTCTGGAGGCATTTCCACTGGTTAATTAATTGCTCTCCGTGTCAGGAAACTTCTCCTGAATTCCAGGCTGCTTCTCATTGTTTCTTGTCTTGCCTTCAGCTGCTTTGGAGAATAGCTTGACTCCCTTTTCTTTGTGGCAGCTCCTCTTACATTGGAAGATGCTATTATGTCTCCCCTAGTCCTTCTTTTTAATAAACTAAACCAGGGGTCTCCACCCTTGGCAACTTTAAGACTTGTGGACTTCAACTCCCAGAATTCCTGTCAGCTCTTCAACTTTGGCAACTTTAACACTTGTGGACTCCCAGACTTCCTCAGCCGGCCATGCCAGAATTCTGGGACTTGAAGTCCACAAGTCTTAAAGTTGCCAAGGGTGGAGACCTCTGAACTAAATAAACCAATTCCTGCCTTCTACCACAGAAACACAATTCTTCTCCAAAGCAAGAGATGTTATGTTGTTATGAAGGCCTTTCCCATAATCCTAAATAATGCAGACTTAAGTAAGTCAGTTTATCCCAAAAGTACTTCTTCAAAAGGCAACTGGATTTTGTTTTCTTCTTTGGAAACATTTAGCTTCTCACCCACAAGGCTTCTTTAGTTCTACATGGAATATTGTTTGGATGGCATCTTTGTAGGTTTCAAACATCTTGTGAGAACAAGATGGCTGGATATGTCTACGAATCGTCGAAAGAAACGGAACCTAATTTTTGTTCTGGCTTCTCCTTTTTCTTGGGGTGTCTCCCCAAAACCCCCTGTTCAAACCAGCCCTACATTAAATTAATGTCCTTAAGGCCTTCAGAAGTACTGAGAAAATTAGATGCATGGGAACCAATAATTTCTCCATCTGAGCTCCTCATGTCAGAGTTAGCCCTACAAGCAGAGGTGAGCTGCTGCCAATTTGCACTGACCGGTAGTTAAGATTAGGCACAGTTCGACGAATCGGCAAATCCTACCACCGGCTGGCCCTACTCCACCCATTTTTCAGCCTGGTTTTGGGGCTGTTTTCAGGCTGGTTTTCAGGCTGTTTTCAGGTCATTTTCAGAGCCAAAAACAACCTGAAATTGCCTCAAAAACAGCCCCCCAAATAGCCTGAAAATGCCCCCAAATGGGTGGGGGTGGGGCCAGCCAGTGGTGGGATTAGCCCCAACCGGCAGGGCTGGGTGTGATGAGTGACATCACCCACCCGGTCACATGACCAACTGGCCATGCCTGCCCAGCCAGAGAACCAGTCGTTAAAAAAAATTGTAGCCCACCACTGCCTACAAATGAGAATTTAACTTCACGCTTTCCCTTTTGCAAACATACAGCCATTTGTCATAATTTTGGGTATGTTCTCCCTCCTTTCCTATGGCCTGGAGCTGGCACATTCTTCTCGAGTAGGATTTGCGATGTTTTCTCAGAAGAAAATACATGCTTTTTAGGTGCATGTTTTTCCCGCTTGTGTCCACTAGGGACCGCTGGAGGTCTTAATCCATCAATCAGAACAGAGCCAGAACTTCACTTCTGTGGCTTAGTACATGAAAAGAACGGCAGAAGGTGAGGGCCAAAAATTAAGAAAGAGTCCTTCCTAGGTTGAGCAAAGAGTTGTACCTGTAATCACCAAATGGCCTCGCCCTGGCCAGAAATGGCATTCCAATGGTGTGGTGTGCCACTGGTGTGGCATTGCTCTCATCACAATGCTCTTCCTATTAGTCACATATTCATGGAAGTCCAACTGGATGAAATTTCCAGACAGTTGAGAGCAATTAACCAATGGAACGACTTGCCACCCGAATTTGTGGGTGTTCCATCACTGGAGGTTTTCAAGAAGAGACTGGACAGCCATTTATCCAGAATGGCATAAATTCTTCTGCTTGAGCAGGGGGTTGGACTAGAAGACCTCCAAGGTCCCTTTCAACTGTGTTATTCTGGGATTCTGTTAACCAGTGGGATAGCTTGACTCTAGAAGCTGTGGGTGCTCCATCCCTGGAGGTTTTCAAGAAGAGATTGGACAACCATTTGTTTAGAAGTGTAGGGAGTTGGACTAGAAGACCTCTAAGGTCCCTTCCCACCCTATGATTCTATGTCCTATGGCCAGTCCTTAATCCATCCAGAAGGCAATGAGGTTTCCTCCACAACTCACAACCCAACCTTTGTGTTTTTCACCCTTCTCCACCACCATCACACCTCAAGTTTTTACCTGATGCCGTGTCTCCGTGCTGTGGCTCGAATGCAGGCGCCGGATTGAATTTTCCCGGGTCAAAGTCAGTTCTTCCTCACTGCCAAGGACAAGGAGATGGGGTACTGAAGATGTGAGCTTGGCGAAAACGCCTTTCAACCCAACCGTTGACTCTGTTTTGTGGTTCTGACACCAGAAGAAGGAGTTGGCTAGCCACGCCACAATGGGGAGTTGAAGTCCACAACCTGAAAATGGGTTGAACCTCAACTCCTGATGTGAGTCGACTTCATGGGTGGCTGGACTTCCAGACTTCTGGAAGAGCATTTCTCAATCTTGGGCATTTGATGGTCGGTGGACTTCAACTTCTAGAATTCCCCGGCATAGCTGGGTGGGGAATTCTGTGGGTTGAAGTCCACCCATCTTCAAGCACCCAAGGTTGACACATATTGTCCTATAGTCAGAGAACCTCGTCAAGTGGTACTATCTTTTCTGCCATATCTAGATATAAATCCGTTCCTCTTCCCTGTGTTGTTTCACCCCACCCTTGATCTCCTTTCCACCCAAGGTCCTTCTTCATCCTGTCAGGGTTCTGACCGATACCCTATTTAATCATGAGCCTCAGGCCAAGCTTCAAAAGAAGTTGACAGATCCGTCCGAGCACCTGCAACTCAAGGACGATGACCGGTGTCAACCCTGGAGCGGACCTGTCTGAGACCATCTTTGTAAGTTTTGTGGGTTACCACAAAGCAGAAGAGGGGACCGGGAGTGGGGATTAGCTAGCTGAAGTTTTGCAGTCAAAGCAAAATGTTTTCTCGTGGGAACCAAGGTCATTCCAACAAGTAGCTGGGGAGAGGAGGAGTGACATAACCAAGCAACTGGCCAGCATCTCGACTGGACCATGTGATGGGGAACTTGGGGAAAGGGGAAAACTTTCACTTTGAATCAAGGTGAAAAACCATGGGAACTTTCAGAGTCGGCTTACACCGGTTGTGCCAACATGATGTATCCAAATAACTTGTTCTTTGAGGAATTTGCCTGCCGCAGAGTTCTGATTTCAAGGGGTGCATTACTTGGAAGCCTGACAACTGAAGGGTCAGGCAGACCAGTTCTCATGACTTTCTCGTAAGACCAGGTTGATCCCCAGAGGAGAGGAAATCGACCTGAGCTTCCATGCTTACTATTTCTTGGTGATGCGCTTGGTCTTCCGCTTGTGGTAGCATGTCATGAGGATGATCACCAGAATCAGGAGGCTGAGCAAGACCACCGAAATGATGCCCACCCCGATCATGGAGATGGAGACCACGTCTACCTGTGGGGCTGGGAGTTCTGCAGGTGAAACACACACAGAGAGGATTTCAAGCTCAGAAAGAACCAGGAATCACAGGTCTGCTTTGAAGTGCCTATACAGACACCACACACACACACACACACACACACACACATATCAGACATAGTTGAATGGAATAAATAATATGGAATTAAATTTGGGCATAGTTGAATGTAATTAAATATATATATTTAATTCGGTTTCTGAGAATCTCTCTCTTTCTCTCCCTCTCTCTCTTTCTGTCTCTCTCTCTCCCTGTCTCTCTTTCTCTCCCTGTCTATTTCTCTCTTTCTCTCCCTGTCTCCATCTTCCTTCCTTCCTTCCTTCCTTCCTTCCTTCCTTCCTTCCTTCCTTCCTTCCTTCCTTCCTTCCTTCCTTCGCTCCCTCCCTCCCTCCCTCCCTTTGGTTAAAATGAAGTATTGCAGGCAAACTCTGCCCTCTACCAGAAGTTCAATCCTGATTTTTTACAGTCCAGTAAAATGAGGACCCAGATGGTTGGGGACAAGAGGCTGACTCTGTACACCTCTCACAGAGGGCTGTGAAGCACTGTGAAGTGGGATATAAGTCTAAGTACTGTTGCTATTTCTTAAGTTAGTCACACAGTTTTTAAATGAATCTGGCTTCCCCATTGCCTTTGCTAGTCAGAAAGTCGCAAAAGGGGATTCGGTGACCCCAGGACACTGTGACTAGCATAAATATGAGTCACTTGCCAAGCGCCTGACTTTTGATCACAGATGCTGCAACAGTTGTAAGTGTGAAAAATGGTCATGTCACTTTTTTCAGTGCCGTTGTAACTTGGAACGGTCACTAAACGAACTGTTGTAAGTTGAGGACTGTCTGTAGATGCCAGCTGCCAAATAGTGATTATGTGAATATGGGGATGCAGTGACAGTTGTAGGTGTGAGGGCCCATTTTTCAGTCCTGTTGTAACTTTGAATAGCTGGTCAACAAATGCTTGCCAATCCCAGACTAGCTGCAATCCGAAACACAAGAGATAGACGGTGAATGAACTGGAATCAACTAGAGGTTTTCAAGGCAAAAATTGACTGGAGAAAAGACACAGGAATAGAATAACAGAGTTGGAAGGGACCTTGGAGGTCATCTAGTCCAACCCCCTGCTTGAGCAGGAGAGTCTATTCCAAATATCAGCTTCTACCTAGGATCGAACTCACAGCCTCCTGATTGTGAGGTGAGAGCTTCCCTTCTAGGCCACCACAAGGGACTAGGAGATTGAACTAGAAGATCTCCGAGACCCCTTCCAGCTTTATGATTCTATGTTTCTAACTAATATGACTCTCATATGCCTTAAGCAGGCCTGAAAGACAGGTGAGTTCAAGGAGGGAAGGAAGAATGCATTTTACGGGCCCAACTGTACCTCTGCCTGTTTCAAACATTCTTCGTCCAGTTGTTACTGGGACAGCACAAACAGGGACTCTCCCTATTCATGCCTGATTTCCTCGGGAATAAAAACCATGCAAGGTAGGAAGGCCCATGGATAATTGCAGATGTGGCCACCTGAACCTACCTTTGATGCCCACCACAGCCCTCACTTCCTTGGCTGCAAAGCTGTTGGATACTCGGCAGATGTAAACCCCTTTGTCTCCGGTTTTGAGGGGTCTCTGGAAGAGCAAGGTATCCCCTTTGATCCTCACTCCCCTGGGGAGGGACTCATTGAGCCTGTGGGGAGAGCAGAGAAGGTCAGAGTGGAAAAGAAAGCAAAACGTGGAACTTGCTCCTCTTTAAGCTTAAAGGGAAGGGAAGGGAAAAGAGGAGGGGAGGGAGATAGAAGGGAAAGGGAAAGGGAGGGGAGGGAGGGGGAAGGAGGGGTAAAGAAAGGAGAAGGAAGGGAGGGAAGGGAGGAGAGGGGAAGGAAATGGAAGGGAGGGAACGGAAAGGAAAAGGGAGGGGATGGAAGGGAAGGGAAGGGAGAAGGAAGGGAGGAGAGGGGAAAGAAAGGAAAGAAAAGGGGTGGGAAGGGAAGGTGAGGAAAGGAGAGGGGAGGGGAAGGGAGGAAAGGGGAGGAAGAAATGAGAGGGGAAGAGGAAAGGGGAGGGCAAGATGTTTACAGTGCAAGACTTCTTATCAGCCTGACCAGACAGGAAACACAACCAGATACACCAATCCCCCTTTACCGTTAAGGCTACGTGAACAAAATCTCACAAGCCCGAAAGTACAAATCTCCTACCATCTGTTTCACAGCCTTGGGAGGCGAAGGAGCACCTCTGCTGACTCTCATCCCCCCCTGCCCCCGTTATGCAGCCGAGGGCTCAGCCGTCCCTTATATGACCCTTCTCTTGGCCCCACATCCCATCCCCAGGTGTGGCAGGTAGCATTACCCCACAAGGGACTAGGGGACCCAGGCGCAGAACCTGGACCTAGGTCACCCACTTGCATGCGATAGCCTCAGAAGGAGTGAGACCGCAATCCTCACAGACAAGGTTGGTTCACACTGATTCAGGCGAACTGGTAGCCAATGTGGCGAACTGACAAATCCCACCCCTGGCTGCCCCCCCGCTCCCCTTACCTCCCAGGAGTCCCCATGTGGCCCCATTTTGGATCGCAGGTAAGTGTGGAGGCTTGAGGAGGGTGAAAAACGGGCCTCCCGGAAGTTCCGGAAGGCCGGAAATAGGCCTGTTTCCAGTCTCTGGAAAGCCTCTGGAGCCTGGGGAGGCCATTTTCGCGGCCCCCCTGGAGGCTCGAGGAAAGCCTTTGGAAACAGCCCCCCTCCCAGGCCAGGGTGGTGCAGGAGGCCAATTAGGCCATGCCCACCATGGCCACGCCCACCCTGCCACCAGGGAGAGAACCAGTTGCTACGTTTTTTGAAGTCCACCCCTGCTCATGGACAGCAGAATCACACAACCAGCACACGCACTAGGCCAGAGGTCACCAACCTTTTGGACCTCAGGGGCCACCAAACTCATAATTTTAAATCCCATGGACCAGAGACCCTGGGAAAGTCCCCCAAAAAGTCTGCAGGAAAAATCCCCCACCCCGTTTTCTTACTGATCGATCGGTTTTTTATTTGGGATCGCAGGATACCGTCTCCAGCTCTATTCTCGGGGGTGGGGGGTAGGAGAGAGAGACTTTTGGCTTCATGCAAGGAAAGCAGCAGAAGCTGCAGAAGTCTTTCTTTCTCTCCCCCAAACTCCACCAGAAATGAGTCTTTGACGGCGCAGCCTCTTGAAGCAGGATGCCTTGCAGGGTCCCAAAGACTCATTTCTGGCAGAGTTTGGGGGAGAGAAAGAAAGACTTTGGCTGCTTTCCTTGCATGCAGCCAAAAGCAGAAGAAGAAAGTAGCAGAAAGAAGCAGCCCGGTGGCCAGGCCAGGCGCATGTGGCATGTGGGGCAAGTTCCCCCCTCCGCTCTTTCCCCCCTCCCCTCACTACCTCGTGTTGCTTCCAATGCAAGCGATGCAAGCCTTGTGTTCCCATGCAGCCTGGATTAATTATTTTGGGGGGGACATTTCTCTGCGGACCACCAACATTTTCTCATGGCCCACCAGTGGTCTTCAGCCCGCCGGTGGGCGACTACTGCACTAGACTTGAAGCTAAAAACTGCAAGTATTTCCAGGCAGCATCCCACAGGATGTCTCTCTTCCTTGACTTCCACACCGCTGATAAATTGCTATCCTATTTCTGGGGCTTGCCGGACAACCTCTCTAGGGTGAGTTGTTAATACTCATCCTTCAGGTTTTAGCCTGCACGCCCAATTCGTACATGTGCCAGGGTCACACTTTTTTTAGAGCAACGAATAGGCTGCAACATGCACGGCTGATTTTTGCTAATATTATTTTTTTTTCTCACCCTTTATTTTAAATATTTATAGGCTATTTCCTCCACTAGCTTTTAGGTGCAACAGTTGGGAAGAAATAGCTCAAAAATAATCAGATGAAAAAATGAGTGCAAAACACATTTGATTTTTCTTCTTCTGCTTTGGCCAAACCTTGGGCAGGATGAAGTCCGACTTCAAGGCATCGGAGAAATGTGGAAGATGACAAAGATTTTCAGCGGAGTAAAAACTAAGCCTTGTTTTAAGAAATAAAACAGGAACAGTTAGTCCTGCACTTACGGCCATTCATTTAGTGACAATTATGGAAATTATGGTGGAGCTAAAAAAGTGACTTATGACCAGTCCTTGTACTTTTGTCCCATTTTATGACATCTCTTGCCACAGTTGTTAAGTGAATCACTGCAGTTGTGGAATAAGTTACATGGTTCTTAAGTGAATCTGGCTTTCCCGGTTGTAACTTGAGGACCGCCTTGACTTTGCTGGCACCTGGGCTGTGGCTTTTGGCTGGTTAAAGTAACTGAACGGGGAAAGGGCCTCCCTTTCCTGGCTGCTCCTCCATCCCAGGGACGTGTTGTGACTGGTGATTGAGGGAAGAGAAATTGGGGGGGGCGGGGGGGGGAGCCATGACATCATCCACAATAGGTGCTGAAATCAAAGGCAGGCCTTCCCTTTTCCCACGGTGACCTGATTAGCAGAGTCGGTGCTGAAACCTGTTCGGGCCCCACCCCAAACTCTGCACCCGTGGATGCCGGCAGCATCGGGTGCACATTGGCCTGGGCAGCTGCTGCACCCCCCAACCCTAAACCCAAACCCCAATCCAAAACCCAAACCCAACTGTGATGACCCAGGGTGGGATATCAAAGCAACAAAGTCACAAAAACAGGTGAAGTCCCTTTAATTCCTTCAAGTTGGCTTCAAAGGTCCAATTATCATTGACTGGAGAAAAAACTCCCCCCCACAAACAGTTGTGAAAAGGAAGAAATGCCGTTCAAACTCAAAATACATATCAATTATGAATAGAAAAAACAACACAAACCACACTGAAGCAATTAATGAGACAAGGCAGGATAAGGGCTTGAAGACATCCACAGATATCAAAATACACACACTGGGGAGGACACCAGAACTCAGATAAGAACTGAAAGACTAGAAATATTTTCAGGTTTTGCTTCCAGCACTGGGCCATGCACAGTTTGTCCTTTTAAACAGTCCTCACGGCTGCAGCCCATGAAGGGGCTCAAGGCCACTTCCTCCCCCGTAGACCATGCCATTCACATTTCTCCCTTATCCACTCCTCCCTGTGTGCCCTAGGATGAAGAGACGGTGGGCTCCTTCCTGCGTGCCCTAGGATGAAGAGATGGTGGGTCTGAATGCCCAGCCGACCTGTGCCCTTCCCCAGTTTCCTCCACACCCTCCGGAGCCACACTCCCACTCCCTGTTGGCTGTTCCTCCTCTCCCTCGGAGTCAGATTCTAACAGGGGAATGTCACCAACCTGTAACCCTAACCCAATCCCCAACTGAAACCCAAGCCCTAACCCTCAACCCTAACTCAACCCCAAACTCTAACCCCAATCTCAAACTCTAGTCCTAACCCCCAAGTCCGAACCCATAATCCTAATCCCCAAATTCTAGCTCTAAACCTAACCCAAACCCTAACTCAAACCCAAACTCTAATGCCAGCACTAACCCTAACTCCAACCTCAAACCTAAATCCAACCCAATCCTCAACCCCATCCCCAACTGAAACCCAAGCCTAACCCTAACTCAACCCGAAACTATAGCCCCAGCCTCAAACCCCAAACCAAACCCCCAATCGTAACCCCAAATACCCGTACCCCAACCAACCCCAAAACCCAAACCCAACCCCTAACCCTAACCTCAGCCCTAACCCAAACCCAATTCTAATGCCAACCCCAATCCTAGCCCAAACCCACCACCCAAACCCCTAACCCTAATCCCAAATCGCATACACCAAACCCTAACCTCAACCATAACCCCTAACCCTAAACTTCCTTCCCCAATCCTAACCCAAACCTACCACCCAAACCCCAATCTTAATCCTAACTCTAACCCCAACCCTAACCCTGACCCCTCAGTGATGGTGAACCTTTTTGGCACCAAGTGCCCAAATGAGAACACACGTGCATGTGTGCGTGTCGGACCAGCAGAAAACCGAAGAGCAGCTGGCCGATGCATGCATGCCTCTTTTTTGGCCTGTTTTGGCCATTTTCAGGCTGGTTTTGGGGCCAAAAACGGCCTGAAAATGACCCCAAAACAGCCCCCCCCAAAGGCCCGAAAACAGTCTTGTTTGGGGGTGAATTTTGGGCTGTTTTACAGTGCTCTGGTGCTTGTAAAGAGCAGCTGGCAATGGGGAGCATGCCCACTGAGACAGCTCCATCTGCCACCTCTGGCATGCATGCCATAGTTTCGCCATCACGTCCCTAACCCCAACCATTCCAGACCAGTGGTTGTCCAGTCTCTTCTTCAAAAGGTAGGGTAGAGGGGGCTGGACTAGAAGACTTCCAACTCTGTTATTCTGTAACAGAGGCTTTTTCCGTCGATGTTCTTAAGCAAAGCACTGCAGTTGTTAAGTGAATCGGCAGTCATTAAGCAAAACCAGATTCCCCCTGTTGGCTTTGCTTGTCAGAAGCTGGCAAAGGGCAATCACATGACCCTCAGAGGCAGGGCTGGGATTCTACCGGTTCGGACCGGTTTGGGAGAACTGGATGTTAACGTTGCATCTTGTTCGCCGAACCGGTATTTCAACTGACCGGCTGGCCCCTCCCCCCCCTCCCCTCCCAGGAGTCTCCAGGTGGCCCATTTTCAATGCAGGTAAGTGCAGAGGATGTGTGGAGGCTCTGGGAGGGGGAAAAACGGGCCTTCCAGAA